GGCAGACGCCACTTTGAATAAGTAAGTAAACAACCTCCTTCTATGATATCTAATATTAATTTAATTATACAGTTTAATGGTCGAAGAGAAATCAATCCATAATGAAGTAAGGGTGAAATGGAAGTGGTATTTTCATCTGAAGAGCCCTGGTACCACAGATTTCTCTCTCCAATAGATTTTCCAATCTCCTTTTGTGTAATGTCCTGGTCTACCATTAGGGTTCCAAAAAATAATTTCTAATAGGCAAAGATTTAAAATATGTTTATCTATCCTTAACTAGGCAAAAACATTATATCATATTATTCTTACTCTTAGGAAAAAAAAAAAATCTAAAATTATATAGGAAAAAAAAAATTATATAAAAAAATTACAAAAACTATTAATTAATTAAAAAAAAAAAAAATACTAACACCCTTTCAATTCTCTACCTGTTTGAAATAAAAGTGTATGGTTCTTTCTTTATCTCTTTCCTCTCTTTTACTAAAAAATAAATATATAATCATTATAAATCTCTTCTTTATTCCTATTTATTTTAAGAGTATGTCTAAATGACGGGTAAAAGCCGATGCTAAAAGACGTTACGTTGTTAAATCTTCTTTTCTTGTTAAATTTTCTTTTTATTTTTCAAAATTTTTTTTTTCTCTTCTATCTAAAATAAAAACATATTATTCTAACATATAATTACTTTTATTACATTTTTCTCTCCTAAATAAGATATAAAAATAATACATATAAACAACTTTTTAATCTCATCTAACTTAAACACAAAAATAATTATCAACTTTTATCTTATATAATTAATTTAGATTTAGCTTGCTAATCTAATAGAATTTCCTTTTTATATATAAATATTACTATTATTAAAAGTTTTATATATAGTTATATCAATATATAAATCCATCTTAACTCACTCTATAATATCAACTTAATTTAAATTATATTTAAGATTTAAAAATTTATTTGATAAACTTTATTATTTACATTTCATATAAATTCATACGAGCTTGCTCTATGATAATAACTTATTTTAAGTTATATTTAAGATTTCAATTTTTAATAGACAAACTCTGTTATTTACATATCCAAAAGGTATAATTTATATCTTAAAGGAAAGATTAAAATATAAAAGTAATTATAATCACATAATACTCACAGAATTTTTTTTTCTGAGTGTTTTAGTCAGTTTAAAGATGTTTTTTATTAGTTATTATTACAATTACTACAGATATACATACAACAATCTATATTTATTATCAAACAAATTATTAATTATTTCAACTAACATCTATAACAAATAATTTTTAATATTAAAAAAAAAACGTTTTAAAGAATAACAAACTAAAAAACTTTAAAAAAAACTACAAACATTTTTGGGTTAGCACCCCTTCTATGTTCTCTAAACTCGCTAAAAATTGTCTAAATAAGAAATGTCAAACTTGCCCAACTTTCAAGAACCATGACACATTTCAAACACCTAGTTGTAAGATAGAAAACACTATTTATAAATTAACTTGCCAAACTTGTCAACTTTCATATATAGGAAAAACTTGCAATCCTTTAAACATAAGAATAAATTTACATAGAAACCACTCCAAAAAATCAATTGGTAACACATACATGAAACAACACAATAAAATACATACCTTTAACAATTACATGATAGAAATACTTGACATTTGTCAAGACAAAAAACAACGATTATTATTAGAAAACAATTACATTTATCAACACAACACTTTATACCCTTATGGACTTAACGACGAACTTAACCACACATACACACCACAACCATCTGAAATATCAATCTATGAAATTAGTAATAAATACAAAAAACATAACTCTAATAATAACTCAGTCAAAACCAGAGGTAAAACTACCAACAAATTAGGCTTCATAAACTTTAATAACTTACTAGACACAAACAAAATGTACACAAAAAATTTCATTGAAAATTTTATTAAAACATTATTCAAATTAAATAATAGCAAACTTATAAAACTTGTAGAACACATTAAAATTCACAATCTTTCTAATAGATTAACAGATATCACAAACGACATCTTCAAATACAGAAAAATTAAACAAAAGAATAACCAAATTACCATTATTATTAAATTCAATAACAAATTATTTGATCATTTCAAATTTAATGATATATTTAATGACCAATCTATTAACAGTTTATTTCCTATAAAAGGTTTAAATTTTAAAACTACCTGGAAATATAACAAGAATATAGGCAGTATATTATGCAATTATAACCCGTTTATTAATAATCTAACAAATTTTAAAAAATCTAAATGTAATTGCCACAATGTTCTAGATAAATATAAATTCACAGGACATATTTTAACTAGCGATTATTCTTTTTTGGAACCAAAACTCCAAAACATTTTAAATAGAGGATATAAATATATACCTCAGATCAAACACAATTTCAATAATACAATTAAATCTATATTAAAAGACATCGATATTTTCATTAATAAAACTAGTATAAAACACAGAATTCCTGAATTTACTTTCCTAGAATGGAAATATAAATTAAGTAAAGAAATAAAAAACTATTATAACAACACACTAAAATACACAAACCCTAATGAATCGGAAATTAATTCCTTAAAAGACAATTTTGAAAACTTACAAAAAGATTTTATCATATGTCCAATAGATAAATGTTCAAATAATTTATCTATTATATGTAAAAACTTATATCATGACCTTCTAAAAAATGAAATTAATAACAACAGTAAATACACTTTCATAAAAACAACTGAAACTAAAATCAAAAAAGATATTAAAAATGTAGAAAACACACTAAAAATCATTAATTACAACAAAAACACAAACATACCGAAATTTTATATTATTCCTAAATTACATAAAACACCAATCTCATTTAGAACAATCACATCAGGAATAAACTCAGTCATAAAAAACATAGATTTAAGACTAGCTTCAATACTTCAATTCATAATAAATAAAATAACTAACAAACATAATTATAAATTCATAGATTCTAATAAAAAAAATCATTAACTTCCTAACAAATAACCTACAAAAGATGAATACAGTTCATACATTTGATTTTGAAGATCTTTACTCTAACATACGTTTAGAAGACCTTAATAATAAAATACAGAGCTTAATAAATGAATTCATTAATGATAAAACATTCCATATTCAAATTATTCACAACAAATACAAAACATTTAGATAACAAAACAGCAAAAACATTACTTGAAACCTTCTTAAACTTTAATTATATTAATTTTAAAAACAAAATATACATTCAATCTAAAGGTGTTCCAATGGGAACTTCATCCAGTCCTCTACTAGCAAACTTATTACTTTTTTGGTATGAAAGAGAGTTCTTCCTACAGAATGATGTAAATTGGCATATGTTCCGCTATGTAGATGACATTATTATCTTGAATAACCCACAATTCAATAATGTCATTTACAAAATATACCCTAAATATTTGAAACTTAAAAATAATGAAAAGATAACTAATAACAAGGAGGTTAACTTTTTAGACTTAAATATAAACCTTGCAAACAAGTCAATTGGAACATATGACAAAAGAAATTGTTATAATTTTAAAATTATTAAATTCTGTAATGTCAATTCCAACATATCATCAAATTGCTGCAAAGGCATATATTTTGGTCAATTTTTAAGAT